CACTAGTAAAAAAACTTTTTTAAAATCCTATGTTTTCGGGCGCCTGGGTGGCTCAGTTGGTTAAGCGACTGCCTTCAGCTCAGGTAATGATCCTGGAGTCCTGGGATCGAGTCCCGCATCGGGCTCCCTGCTCAGCGGGGAGTCTGCTTCTCCCTCTGACTCTCCCCCTCTCATGCTCTCTCTCAAATAAATAAATAAATCTTTTAAAAAAAAAAATAAATAAAATAAAACGGCAAGAATTCAATTACGGAGCTTTCTGAACACTCTCCCCGTGACCCTTACATGCAGTAGACTCCCACTCACCAGTTGTGCTAACGGTGGCTGATCTGATGTCCCCTTCAGCAAAAGCTCTTGTAGTCCTGCTGTCCCTCCAGGCGGCCCAGGGGCGACGGCTAAAATGCAGGTTCTGCACCAGGAGGTCTGTGCTAGGAGACCCGGGGTTCTTTCTTTCCAGGACGTGTCCTGGAGGATGCTCCCGTGGGAGTCCCACCCTCTGTTACACAGGACCGTGGGGAGGATGCAGGAGCCAAGGGCTTGTCCTTCCCTATCTCCTCGACGGACACTTGCCCTTCTCCTCACTCCATGCCAACGGTGGTAAGGCATTCGCCAAGTCGTCGTGCCCGGCGTACGCATTAGGGCGTCCTCCCCATCAACGGCCCCGGAAGGCTATTTAGGACAACGAAGAACGAAATGCCTTCGCCACTCAGCACATCCAGGGCCCTGGCTTGTTACAGCTACTGTGCGCCAGCGCCCAGGTCCCGGCATCCCCAACAGGGACACAGACAAGCCCGGCGTACAGGCTGTTTGGGGGACTCCTCACCGCCCCCTGGAACGCACGACACGCGCCCATTTTCCAGACTGTCTTCCGTGGCTGCGGTCGAGCAAATATGTCCTGAAACAAGGGGCCCCGGGGAACCTTCAACCAGCACGTCTGCGACTGACGGATTCCCGCAGGCCTGCTTATGAAGACCACACAGGGAAGGCGGCTGACACGGGAGGTGGGCGCGCTTGGCCACCGCTTAAAGCTGTTTGCTGCAGTCCATCCAGAGCCTGTCAGCTGCCTCCCTGCCCACGAGTCTGCATTTGGTGCCACCACACGGAGCAGGGGCCGTCTGCTGAAGGCGTATGCAGCTCGAGCCTTACGACTTGGCACCAACTCGGGATGTCACCATCCCATTCTGCAGGTAAGTCACCTGAGAAGCTCAGAGAGGTTAGGCAACCTGCGCAAGGTCACACAGCCTTCGGAGCCCGAGGATGCGCACGCCACACACACTGTCTCTCTCTCTCTCTGAGGTTTCCTACACCCTTAGGGAACAAGCATACGTGGGCGCAGAAAACGCTACTAGGCGTCTGGCCACAACCTAGCACGTGAGCCCCGCCCGCGCGGCCAGCCGGACCGCCCCACGGTGGGGAAAAGGAGAAAAACCACTTCCGGGAGACGGACGCGAGCAGGGACGAGCGCTTCCGGTGCGCAGCGAACGAGTGTCGTTCAGGCTCAGCAAACTCGCAAGAGAGCGGCCAGCCCGCAGGGGGCGCTAAAACGCGCGGACGGACTAAACCGCATCGCTACGTGTGGAAGACAGCAGGACTCGAGACTAAACTGTTGTCCCTTACCCGCGCCCGGGACAGCCGGGTCAAGCGTCCGCATGTGCGCCGCCATGTTGAGTCCAGTGTTTTGAATAGGGTGGGCGGGGCCTAGCGGAGGCCTGCGTCGGCATGATGACGTCGCAGCCCCGGGCCGGTAGGCCCGCCCCGACCCCTTTCGCGAGACCTTCCTGGGCAGGCCCTCCGCGAGCGTGGGCCAGCCCTGATGGGCGGGGCCTTGTTGAGTGACGGCCCGGCCCCGCCTTCCGCTTAAGGGGGCCGTTCAACATGGAAGTGCCTCAGACCTGCGTTGGTAGGGCGGGCGCGAGGCGGGCGCCGGGCGGGCTCTGGTCCGTAGAGGTCGGTCCCAGGGGTGGGCGGGTCGGAGCAGTCCCCCACGCAGCCGGGGTGGTCCGGCGGCGACCCCCGCCCCGCCGCCCCCAGGCCCCCAGACTGACGCTGGGTCTGCGCGTACCTGCCGCGCGGATGCGGAGCGCCCCCACTCCACTCCAGTCTGCAGAACTTAAACCCAAACCGGGGCTCGGCTGCCCCGGCCCAGCCTCCCGGCGAACAGAACAAAGGTCTTAGGCCCCTAAACTCGAGGCCCAGGCCCTGTGCGTCGTCTGAACGCGCGGGAGTGGGGTGGGGGCGGGGCAGGGAGGAGACACGCCCCAGCCCGGGGGCCTCCAGGTGAGCCGCGGGGTGGCCGCAGGACTGCATGCACATCGGGCCCCCTGAGGCTTCGGAAACACAGCTCTGCCCTTAAATTGAGCAGCACAAGGCATCAAGGGGTGCGGGTAACGTTTCTTGGAGCCTTCGACTGCCTCCGTTGGTCTTGAGATAAATATGTTGCCTTGTTGAATAATCGCTCATTGCATAATGGAATTGATGGTGGGCATCATTTTGGGGGTTGTTGTTTTTTTTTTTAAATATATATATGGATGCTTGCAATGCAAGTGTGGGGCAGAAGAGGCAAGGACTTCTCTTGAAATGTAGTGATGCACTTGCAAAGAGCACGTGTGTCCTTTATTTGGAAGTTGCTAGTTTCTAGCGATTTTACCTTCCGCAATAGTAGCCGTCCCCCCAAAAGTGTAAAAAAGACCAAATGCCTTGCCGGTTGTAATTTATTGATCTGTTTCTTGTCGGCTAATCAAATGGGAGATTGCAGTATCTATGTGATGAATCCATAAATTTAACTTTTTAAAAATTAATTCGACTCTACTGGGCCAAGGTGAGAGAGTAAAAAAAAGTTTCCTTGAAAAATTTGGGTATTTAATGAGACTTTCATTGACGATACTATGTTTAGCACAGAGAATTATATATTAAAACAAAGTCTTGTTACCAGGAGGCACGAGACAACACACCATGTGCAATAAAGTCTACCAACTTGGAGCATTTTTGTTTTCGGTATCGTCAGTTTCGCAGCCAGCATGAAGCACATCAACTTGTCCTTTGCAGCCTGCGGGTTTCTGGGCATTTACCACTTGGGGGCAGCATCTGCACTTTGTAGACACGGCAAAAAGCTCCTGAAGGATGTCAAGGCCTTTGCAGGGGCTTCTGCGGGATCCTTGGTTGCTGCTGTCCTGCTAACAGCCCCACAAAAAATAGAGGTAATGAAGTAGTTACCTAGGCTGCGTTCCTTGTCTGAGCGGCGGACGTGAAGGTTGGCTCCTACTAAATTAACTGCAGAGAAATAATCCTTTGGGTAACAGAAAACGTTAAGAGTTTTCTTTCAAAATTTAATTATTCTGGATCTGTCTTCCGGATTTGGGAAAGATTATTTTGGATGACAGTGAGACAAGGAAATAAAATGACTTTTTTTTTTTTTTTTTTACTCTTGAGTGATTATTTAGTCTTAAGATTCCAGCTCCGTTTCTTTCAAGCAAAGGATATTTCTTCTTTATCTGATCATGAGGACATCAGCCCTGTTTTCAAAGGCCTGGGACACTTGGCCGATGATGCTTTCTTTCCTCCCATTTGCAAACAGGTGTATAAAGGAAAATGACCAACAATTTCTATTAAGCGGAATGATAGAGATTTTATTTGTTTTTCATTCTCACAGTTGAAAAAACTGTGAATTCCAAGCAGTTTATCCAGAAGTAATGAAAATAAGCCTTCATTAGGTATTACATTTAATGCAGTCTATGTTGTAAAAATGTTCTCTGCTTCTAGACAGCAATCATGCATTTGCTGACTGGGAGAACTGTCTTCTGTAGGTGCAGGATATCGTATTCATTCATTACTTACATACTCTAGTGGCTTTGAACAACAACTGAATAATAGTTAACACATTTGTGCCCAGGAATGAATTTAAGTCACATTTAAAATGTCAAGACGACAAAATTTTAAACATCCGGAATCTTGTTCTCATGATCTAGGATGAGCTGCTTATGAAAGAGAAACTGGAGTTGAGGCCAGCCATATGAGAATCCTCTTACGTTTTCTTCCTGTCTTTGTACGGTTGCTTTATTGGAAACTAGAGAAGGGATGCAGTGCTGTACAGATCGCACAGATTGAGAACCTGAAGGCAGTGAACGTAGACGTAAGGTGTGAACACCCCGCAAGCCAGCAGAATCATATGATTTGGATTGCAAGCTACTTTCTTTCCAGAACTCCTGAGGCTGGGGACTCCCAGGGCGTTGTTTGCTCTTCCTCGGTGCCATCTTTCCTTTAGGTGGGGCAAATCCTCAGCTTTGTGATTAAATACGCTTGGTTTCGAATCTTCAGATTTAGAAATGTATTAAGTGTGATTTAGAGGTAACGTGATTTGGAAATTCTGCCATAATACAGCCACTTAACTGAAATTCTGTGACGTTCAGACACGGACGGTTCCTCTGGATTTGAGACTTGATACCATATTTCAAGCCAGATTACCTGTTCTTGTACCTTTTCTCAATGAATCGGAGACCCTGTTGTATTGTCTAGTTGTGTTGGTATGATTGGGTGGGTTGTTGGGTTGGTAAAGGAGCAGGACTTACTGGGTGCTCACATTGGAAGGTGCAGAATGATTCTCTGTATTTACCTGGAGCATCCTCATTTTTCCTTTGTCAAAGTAAATTTTCGGCTAGTTGATTTAAGGTTATTTTATTTCTTTTCTTTTTAGCATTTGAAATACACCACTTGTAGAACTGCTTTGAGTTTTTTAGCAAACTGTTTTCTACTTACATCCGTGTTAGCTCAGCTCTTGCGGATGATTCCTCGAGCTTTGTGGTGTTGTGACAAATATGTGAGTAATTAATCTAGTTCTAAGCTTATGCACGTATAATGAAGAGGAGCTACCTGATGCCGGGTGTATTTTAGGTGGCAGGCAAATTTAGACGTCCATACGTAAGAGCTCAGTGCTCCAAGTGTTTTCTCAGCCCATAATTTGCAAGGCACGGTGTTCGATATAGTGGGGAACACAAAGATGAGTAAGTCTGTCGCTTAATAAGTTTCCAGTCTGGTCAGGGGAGTGTGTGTCTGTGTCCGCATGCACGACTGTGTGTGTGTGTGTGTGTGTGTGTAAGTAAAATTAATACAAGAAAGTAGGTTAAGTGGGCAGTCTGGCCTACTAGAAGGAGCACACATTTTGGGGACTAGCCCTTGAAGCAGCTTCCCGACAGCAGGCCTGTGTCCACTCACTGCCTACAAACCACCACCTCACAAACACAAATCTGGTTGTCTTAACACCCCGCCCCGCCCCGCTACCTTCCCCTCCCACTTCCAGGGCTCTGTTTTGACTTAGGACGGGATCCAGATTTCTTGGCATGCCTCCCAAGACCCCTGTGACTTGGTTCTCCATTGGCTCACTGATGATGATTTTCAGCTCAGTGCCCTTGTGGGCTTGTGCTCCCAGTGGTCTCTGCCAGTCTTCCTCATCTACCCCCATGTCCTGTCCAGCTCCTACTCACATTTTAGGTCTCACCCTAGATGTCTCGTTGGAGGGAAGCCTTGGTTGACGCCCGCTATGTAATTCTTTTGTTGCTGCTACAATAAATGACCATAAACTTAGTGGCTTAAAACAACACACATGTATTGTCTTAGATTTCTGGAGGTCATAATTCTGGAAAGGTCTCACTGGACTAAACTCAAATTGTCAGCAAGGCTGTGCTCCCTCTGGAGGCTCCGGAGGACAGTCTGTTTCCTTGCCTTTTACAGTTTCTGGAAGCAGCTTGCATTCCTGGGCTCAGGGCCCCTCCCTCCATCTTTAAGCCTTAAGCACAGCATCTTCCAATCTCCCTCTCTAACTCTGACACTCCTCTTTCACCTACAGGGATCCTCATGATGACACTGGACTCGGCTAGATAATCCAGGATAACCTACCCATCTCAAAATCTTTAACTTACTCACATCTGCAAAATCCCTTCTGTCTGTAAGGAAACACAGAGTCCAGAGACTAGAATGTAGCCATCTTTGGGGGTAGGAGGCTTGATTCTGCTTACCGCACCTTCATGGTGCTCTCGGATCTGTGCACTGAGGCAGTCCTAGGTCTCATGAGGACAGGGGCTCTTTGTATCTCAGTCCACCTGAATCCCAGTGCCTAGGACCCAATATAGGTTGCATCATGCATGAATTAATAAAGGAAAGTAGACCTGGGTTCAGATCCTGACTCTGGAGGAGTTTTGATGAGGTACTGGAAAAGCTGTTTAATCTTCCCAAGCCTCAGTTTTCTTACTTGTCAAGTGGGGTATTATAGTCACCTTACAGGGTTACGTGAGGATGAGCTAACAGAAGCTGCATCCGTGAATCCCAGCACATTAGACGCCCACCCTCCTCACCACTCGGAGACTACCGATGCCCAAGACGGATCTCCAAAGACAAACAGCAGTCGTCACGAGTCCTGTCTTGGTCATCGGTAATCAGTACTGTTGCAGGTGGACTGTTTCAGAGGTCACAGAATTGCGATGGGAGAGGAGGTCAGTTGTGTTGGAGAAATGTGTAGAAGAACGTGTTAAATGAGAATCAGAATTGAGTCATCAAGGATTTCCCAGATGTGGGCAAAGCCATTTGAGATGGTTTAAAAAGAAAAGGGAAAAAAGACTGGATTTGGGAGAATGCATAGCTTGCCTGGGTACTAAGAACGGTGGGTGAGGACCGGGTCTGGGGGGTGGGGGCGATTCACGTAGCTCTGAAGGAAAGGGGCACCGAAGGCTAAGCATTGGGTTTATAAGAGCTAGGGTCCAGGTGCCTTGTGTGATGGCCACAGAATTCTGGAAAAAGAAGGAATTGGTTTTTTTTCTTTACAAATCATAGGTTCACCTATTCATTTTCTTTTTCAGGAATGTAATGAATTTACCTACAAGTTTGCCGAAGAAATCCGAAGGCAGTCTTTTGGGGCAGTAACACCCGGCTATGATTTCATGGCCCGATTGAGGTATATACATGTATATAGAATGTTTCCCCCAAAGCATGTGAAGACAGAGTGTTGAGGACGGTGCATGAACTGTGGAATGCTCAACGTAGTGTTCTCTCTTCTAAAATATTTACAAGGCGCTCGATAATTCAAGGTAAATAATGCGGGTCACTTTTTCTTCTTCAGAAGCGGAATGGAGCTGATTCTCCCCCCCAACGCTCATGAGTTGGCCCACAACCGACTGCACGTATCTATCACCAACACCAACACCAGAGAAAATTACCTGGTCTCCAATTTTCCCTCCAGGGAGGATCTCATTAAGGTAACACAGCTGCATCTCATGTTTGAGGAACTCAGCGAGGACTTAATTACTTCTCCCAGGCGATGAGCATCACCACGTTCTTTAGATCCAGGGTTTCCTGTGATGCCTGAGAGACGAAGAGTGCTGGGTAAATGATGTGTTTGATGAGTGAGTTAACCAGTGTCCCTCAGAGGCCACCTCGGAGGCTCCAGAGACCTCCCATACTGGTTCCGTGTTTTTCTCGTGATGGTCGGCAAGCCCACGAGCACCTGGGAGTGCAGCTGGGTAGCGCAGCGGTACTAAGTTCCTTGAGTGGCGTAGCTGATATCTCCCAGTTCACGTAAGACTTCGTACACGTGCTGTCTTACTCAGTCCTCCGCAGCCTTCTGTAAAGCAGGTAGGACAGGTGTGACTACTGCCCGTTTATTGCTTTCTTTTTTTTAAAGAGAAGAAACGGGTGGAGAGATTTTACATGATGTGCTCAAAGGTCATACCGCCTGCCTGGGGGAACGCATTCTGGACCCTAGGTCTCTTGACTTTCCAATCTAATGTTCCATTTCATCCTCCCATTTTGTTTTCATGCTTTTCTAGCCAGACACATTTGGAAGTTGCTCAGTGGTGAATTTATTATCTCTGGGAAATACTTTGGCTAGAGTTGCAAATAACAGTGTGCTTGCTAAGGTAATAGATCAAATATTTGTAAATGGGAAAGAGTGCGCTTCTCTTACAAAAGCCGGGCAATTTTTTTCTCTGTTTTCCCTTTGGTGGGAATCACGGCCAGCTTCAGATAATATGGAGAATGCGTGTGTGGACACAGCAGTGGGCGAGGGATTGAGAGTAAGTGGTGAAAGTTCTGCCTGAATTACATGATAAATGCATTGATTTTTACTATCGAGTCTGTTGGAGTTTTACTGTGTGAATGATATAATTTGAAATACCTAATGACATGCTGAACTGACAAGTAAAATTACTTTGTGACTTAATAGATTAGAATATTTTTACTTGGTGTGCTGACTACACCAGTCTTACACTCATAAATTAATAGCCTTTCCATGTTGGAAGAAGACATCTTTCTATAATCTTGTGGAGACTTGCCAACTCTGAAGGGAGGAGCTGGTCAGTCCCCGCCCGAGCTGTCCCCACCTGCCAGCGTTGGCCCAGATTCGGGGGCTGTCAGTGTGCCGGAAGGCCTCTCCGGCCTGGCCCGGCACCACGACGCGGGTCACCGTGTCTCAAAGCAGGAGGCATTCGATCCAGTAGTTACCTGCTCATGGCGTCCGTCCTCGGCTCCTCTCTCGACAACGGCAGAGCGCCTGGCGTTTCCCGTAACCCCTCGGAACGTACCCATCACTGTTCACGTACTCCGTTGTTCACTGCTTTACCTGGTTAGTGTTAATCGTCGGTCTTTCTTCACCAGAGCGTAAGCTCCAAGCGGGCAGGGGTTGCTCTGATCCGTCCACTGATAGTCCCCGCACCTGGCACAGTACCAGCTCCATCAATGTGGCGTCAGCCAGGCAACGGGAATGGATACGTAGATGAACTGAGGTGGCATCAGCAACGAGGGCCTCACTGAGAACAAAACAAAAGAAGGGGCGCCTGGCTGACTTGGTCGGTTGAGCATCCAACTCTTTTTTTTTTTTTTAAGATTTTACTTTTTTAGGTGCGCCTGGGTGGCTCAGTCGTTAAGCGTCTGCCTTCGGCTCAGGTCACGATCCCAGGGTCCTGGGATCGAGCCCCGCATCGGGCTCCCTGC